TCTCTTTTATTTTGATTGGTTCTTTAAAAATAATTTCAATTCATGACGAGACATTTCCTCCACAATGAACAAACTAACCCTCTTTTATATGTCTAGTTATTCGATAAAATGAAAACTTTTATTGATCACTACTTCATTAATCAATGGAAGAAACTGAAATGAGGTTGATAGGCGTTCGAGATTCCCTTGTCAAAAGTACAAATTAAATGAACTTCTGCTAGTATTAATAGTACTAAACATTCCTGCATATATTAAATGTTTTAGTTAATTTTGCTTCGATTTACATCATGTCCTGAAATTATACCTCAAGAAGTTAAATATTTTCTTTCATTTGTCCCCATAGACCTGAAAAATGTTCAAAAGACGTAAAGCTATAATGACTAACTTGAAGATCATGTTAAAATTACATCTTAATACTTTCCTTATTTAATTGAGTAATGAACTAAGATTGTATTTGATTTTAAATCATAAGAAATAATTGACAAGATATTATGAAATGATGTTTCATACCCTATAAAATTCATTAACAAAAGAACCCATACTTCCTTACAGATTTCGATTGACAACATCTAGAATTGTAGTCACTAATGTTATAAATCACCGGATTAATCAGGCTTCCGACTGACATCTTTCAATAATCTAACATTATAAAGTAAGCCTATATATTCAGTCATTTAGCTTAGTGATTGATGGTGATCCATGAATACTAATAACCATTTAACAGGATTATCATTAGTAACTAAGTAGAACAAACTGACATTTATTTTAGTAATTAGTCAGTAAGTGTGACAGATGTGTACTACTGATGAGACCCATACTAGGACGAAACTGCCGTCCAGTGCTTCTAGGTTTCTAATGTTGGTCTAGCATTGATCGATTCATGATTTCAACGGAATGGGTAGGAGGAAATTTAACAAAATTCAAAAGTGTTCACTGTTTTTTATAAGACGTATGTTTAATGAGAAACATTTGCTACTTTTAATTAACAAACTATCAGTTAGGAAGTTAAAGTTAAGAACAAAATAGATCTTGTTCAATAATTCCGTGATAAGTTTAAAAAGATTAGGTTTGTATGAACATGAGTTAGTGATGATAATGTGCTCTTAATTGACAAATTTCGACGTATATAGATGTTACCAACAGGGGTGAAAAGTATGGTCACATGTAACTGCTTGAATCTTTTTTAATATCCCAAAAAATCACAAAATGCAAGAAGGTCGATTTCAAAATAAAAGAAGTTTGCAACAATTTACATCCTATGTTCTAAATTACAAGAAATATAGGGATGATGCTATAATTTTAGGGTTTTTATTTGTGTTCAAAGTATTTGTAAAGAATCGTTAGTCAGTTATGAAGCTCTTGAGAGTATATAGCTATTTGCTTCGTTTTAGTCAACTCCTAACAATTTTATTCTCACTAGTTCTTTTTCAGTTTTTCATCTTCTCCAGAAAATAATAAAGATCTGATTAACTGATTGTGTAACAATATAACAGAAATTTATGAGCGCTAATTTGTCCCAAGTATTCGACACTATACTTTCTAAGATTTTTATTTAGTGGACAGTTCTTAGTGATCAGTATTTTATGGTAATGTACCGTACTCAACTGTTACCTATATTTTAATCAAAAATCTATTTTATAGCTCAATTACTGTCGTTTCGTTTAAAAACTATCAACGGTTGTAAGTACTTGATCGCACAAGTACTTACAATACTGTTAGCCCTAAGGGCTTTTCTATGTCAAAAGTTTCAGTTAACGGGAATCAAATAACCACTGTGGATAAGATTTAGAGTTAAATAAGATTTCTGTAGCATTAAGTACCTAAGACAATAAGTCCATTGTTCAAAAAATTCATTTGACGTTAACTTATAATTTTTAAACCTAAAATGACCATCTATGGAATTGAAAATTTTTACACAAAAAAACTTGTACAAGTGAAGATGACCTAAAAAAACTGAAAATCAAAATTAAAGTTTGTAGTTTGAAAGAAAATTAAAACGGATATAGATAAACAATAAAACACTGACCGAATTAGTTGAGCTAGTCATCTGAAATTATTAGAATCAATTATTTTGGCGACTGCTTAAAACAATATGACTGTTTATCAATTAAATGGTGTTTCTGTTAAGAGTGACCTTGAATTTAATTAGTTAGCTTATTTTTAATGCATTTCAGTGTATTTGTAAATAATTAAATGGATTGTTTAGGTTAGGCTTTTGAGCATTGAAATGAAAACATTTTAAATTAGTAGATTTACATAGTTAAAATCTATCCAAAAAATATCTACAAATGATATTTGCCCTAAAAAGTAAGATAAATCCAGTAATAAATCTTGGCTATGTTGATAAAATATGATGATATTCCTGAAGAGTCTTAAATTTACTTACATTCCTTAAGTGATAATGTTAGGCAATCATCAAAGCCTCTGGACATACAGTCATATAAACATACTCATAAATCGCTAAACATATTACGACATACTAACACAACTTGTCTGGTCATTGATCGTACTGTTAATGTGAACACAGCTTTAGTGCTTTAATGCCTCACCTTTCCAATATGGGGCTAGTCGGCGAATCCCTGAGTTCAACCATCATTGTCTCCGAGCAGTTGTTCAGTAACAACATCACATTAGTAGCATTGAAGTGTGGAGGCAGTTACGACAACTTGATTGGTATCACCATCCTAAAACATCGGCTCCGATAGGCCGGATATGTACTAAGAATGTCATTCGGTATCTTGCACATCGTGCACTATTTTTGCAGACATGGGTTAATAAGAAAAAGCGAAAGATGACGTGGCATAGTAGTATGAAAAAGAACCTTTTAGAATCGGCACTCATCGGTTCATCGAGACTCCTTAGTTGGAGTCTCAGAGATGGTATTATTCAATAGTTTGAAACGTGATCAAATCCAATGCAGAATTGAAGCCCAATGTCAGTCATGCTGTAATTTCTTTAAACCTTTCATAAAAATGAAAGAAACTCACCTAACTGAAAGAAATTTTACTCATTTGTATTGTGGACTGAAATGTGTCTTCTTTTATATCCTGTTCTTAAGAAATTATTTTATTCACCTACATTTTCTCTTCAACTGTCTCCTTTTATAACCAGATATTACGTGATAAAAATAAATAACAGATATTTTTAATTTTATAGCTCAAATTTTGTAAAACTTTTTTACCCATTTAGGTTTTTTACTGTAAATTCTCCTTGTAATAAAGACATGATTTCATCACATGCTGTATCAGGACCCAAGTTACAATTAATCTCAGCTCGATTTTATTCTAATCAGTTAGGAAATATTTCAAGCTTTGAGTACATATACATTTTTAATTAAATTTACCCTATAATTTCTTTGCAACTATGTATCATTGGTCATGGATAAAATAACTTGATTTTTGATTATAAATCTGTTTTTTGTCTTCCAAACCACTTAGCAGAATAAACGAGACCTGCTTTTATCAATTACCTAGCGTAAATTTATTTCTTCTGTTATTGTCTCTAATTTGAAGCATATAGATTAAAGCGACTAGTCACCATAATCTGAAAAATGAATATTAAAAACCATATGTCTAAAAAGAAAGAATATGACAATGACAGTTGGTCATTTGGTTTCGAAAGTATAAATCCTATCATACTATCGTAACTACAAAGATTAGTCATTCCTGTTGTAAAGTAAAAGCACCAATCTCAGACAGCTTGATAATCGACTTAAAAACTCAAAGCCGCATATTGGTAAAGTGAAGAAAATATCAAGTATATATTATGCCAACTAATAATCACGGCAAAAACTTCAAGACTATTCATATGAGTCAGTAGTTAAGCTAGAATTTTCAGAATTTCACGTCTTAGTGAAAAATATTAACTAGAAAACACCAGATTTCGAACATCCATCACGATTTTTTTAAAATAAACTATGTTGAATATATTTCGCCTGACTAGCATGATTTTACGGGAATCATGTCATATATATATATATATATATATATATATATATATATATATATATATTCATATTTTATTAAATACAAAACTAGTATTCAAATTGGTTGACATTTTTTTAAAACTGAAAATTAATAAGTTATTTCCCTGTATATTCACTAAATTTTCAAATGATTACTTTTTTGTTTTATATTGACAAATCCTAATAATTCAAACAAATTGATTGTAAAATTCAATCCACTGAATCATTTTTTAATGGTCTGATGCTTAAAGCTAATCTTTTTTTTTTACTGAAATTATGCAATAATATAACTAACGGGAAATCAATGACATTTTAGTGATTTCGATTTATTCGTCTATTGTCATAAACTTATTTATGTGTACAGATGAATAAATACACAAACAGAGACAATGATAAGTGAAAATATTAGTGAATAGTCTAGAATTACATTAAAAATTCATAGTGTCTTTTGAACCGGTGAAAATTTAAAATGTAACATAGATCAATGCAAGCGCTAAATGAGTAACGTCTAATTTACGAATATAAAGTAAAGTGAAATTTTTTGAACACAACTCTACTAGATTACATGGATATGATGATAATTAAACATTGAGTTCAATACTACACTTTGTTTTAGTCATTTAAATCTAGTAGATAAAAAAATGTCAACAAATAAATCACGAATATGATGAAAACTTTATAGAAATACGCTTCTTATTTAGACCAGTTAGAACTTGCTGATATTGAATTGGTTATAAAATAGTTATACATTTCACTGATACACATACCTAACGGAGATGCACTTAACTGAAGGATTAATCAACAAAATTATGTGACTACTGTATATTGCCTTTGATGATATAATTGTCTGATTTGTAATATCATCACTGAATATAGGATAGTCGAGATTATTCAAATCACCCATAATAATATATATTCAAAGTAAATAGTAGAAAATTAAAAGATTTAAACTTTAATAAAGGAATAATTTTAAAAAACTCTGTATATAAAATAAAAGTTCTTTTGAAGTACCAACTACTATTTAAATAAAACTTACCATTAAAACTGTTTCATAGGAATTTGAACATTGATGACTGTGAAGAGAATAATACAATGTTGAAAGCCATAGAAATTCCATATAGTTTTATTGATGCAAAATTTTTTGTTACATATTTAATTTCCGTTAAATACAATAACATTATGATTAATGATGATGATGATTATGATGACAAAAATTAACTGATTAAATATTATTTATCGAGTAGTGTAAATTAAGTTATTCATGACTTCTATCATGGAATACATGAACTCATTGAAAAAGGTCATTAAATACTATCTGTCTGTACCCTTTTTTTAACAGTTAGATTAATGAGCGAAGAAAGATACTTTGTCGCATAGCCAAATTGTATGTTGGCCAAAATTGTTTAAAAATCATAACAATAATCATAATAATAATAATCACAATAATAGCAATGCTAATTTTTAACCAGTCCGACTTTTATCCCTTATGATTGGTCAATTGATATCAATGTATATATGTAGCCGTTTGTGAATATTTAAATTAAATCGATTGGGATAGCTGCCAATATAAACAACATGGACATGCACGTTCGTGTGTACGACCATGTGTATAAATGTGTGTATATTTATATACACTGTGTATAAAGACACTGGTGTCTTATTCACCTAGACATGATACATTAAAATAAGTCAGAATGAACGTTTTCAGTAGACATTAATACAAAAAATAATACATATATATATATAAGGATTATGTCAACTTTTGTCAATGATTCCATGTTTTAGAAACAAAAGCTCATGAATAAACTATTTTATCTCATACTATCTGAAAGTGGTTAAGAATGAAGACAATTTCTTTTAGTTTTCAATGTCTACTAGTAACCATGACGAACAAAGCGAGTTTTGACACAAATAACGATGAATACAGTGAATTTCCTTAGATAAAAAAAGATGACACAACACTGTCTATTGATTGCATGATACCATAGCCAACATTGGTAAAAATAATCGAAATGAAGTAGATACAGTTATTAGAAAATAAAATGATATCTTTCTAAATTAATTGATGTTATTCGATATTTTCAGAATTTTCAATACGAACGTCAAATCCGTTCTGTTAAATGGAGCAGAAACTTGCGGAACTACACAAACTATCATCCACAATATACAGGTGTTCAATAACGGTTGTTTGTGGAAGATAGTGCATATCCGTTGGCCAGACACTATCAGCAACAAGCTACTGTGGGAAAGAACAAACCATACTCCAGCTGACGAAGAAATCACTCAAATGATGACAATGAATAAGAGTGTACAACTGTCATCCTAGATTAGTGCTTAAAATATCAGTTGATCTATATTTTATTTTTTGAAACAGTAGCAACCTATACTTTCACTTATAACCGGTTAAACTAAAAAATCGGATCATATTAATGTACACATCCCTACATATTATAACCATATTCGATTTTATTAAACACGTGATACTGACTGATAAGTTAGTAATAATAAGTAAAACAAATTCTTTGATTGTTTCTATCTATTTTACTAAATTTTTCAAATTTGTATTTAAAGAGGAATTTTCAGATTAATATAATTTTCAGCTACTTTTTCCTCTAAATTATGTTTGTTTGAACCATGTATATTATAATGTAAATATAATAGAACGAAACACACATTCTGAATTCAACTTCTAGCCATATTCTATCTATTCTATATCGACTTGTGTTAAAATGGCCAAATCGAGGCAATCCGAACAGAAAGTCAACTGTGAATGATCAAATTTCAATCAAAAATATCAAGAACGAGATAATCCAAACTATTTTAAATTGAATTACATACAATTAATTTAATGAATGTTAAATTCGTTGAAGTTACACATGATATGTAGAATTTTTAAAGTGATGATTCCTTTGACTGTAGTGTTGTTGCTCTATTTTTGGTCGTTGATAAAACATCACTATTTTTGAGGTTTGTATACATTTCGATCAGAACCAGTTGGAAAATTTGACTAACCTGTTAATATAATGGAGCTAAATATGACAAATAAACGCTACTAGCATTTGTTGGATTGTAAATCAACTCATGAATTATATGAATTATAATGGATAAAACTCTTTTTTTTGAATGATTTATCTTAACAGTAACTATTACTAAACTAAGGTATAAAAAGGAAAGACCTATTCAAGATACAAATGGATATGCATAGACCTATCTTTGAACAAAATCTCTACCCATTTTAAAAAATCCTTGTGAACTATCCCCTTATTTTAGTATTTACTACTGTCACCTGCTGATTAGCAGTGCATACCCATAACTGTATTCAAAGCTGAGAATGACAATGTTAAATATTTCACCGGAAACCTTTATTACTGTAAAGCAACTAGTTTAGGTCTAATGAAATGATATCATGTAACTTATTTGCTAAGAACAATCAGCAGCAACTGTTAAAAATTAGTATGATATCAACAGATTGAAAATTTCTTATTTATTTAAAACGATAATTACCTTCCTGTTTCCCTTAAAAATCTTAAGTCAATCAAAGTTATATTTAGTAGTGTATCAAAATATTAAAGCTTTCATAAATAGCTGTATTGCTTTTAGGCCTAAATTATATAAGCATTTCTGATTTTTTTTTAAATTATTTTTAAAGTAAACAGACAGATTTACTTGTTTATCAATCAATTATATCTCTAGAAGAATTTGGAATTCTCTTAATCAACCATTTTATATGAAACAAAAAAAGAACAGAATAAGGAGTACGCTCTTCTGTGGATAGCAAAATAGTTTTTAGCCATAGATCTCACTGCTAACACAATTTTTACAAATGTTTTGGGGTATTCAGTAAACATCCACTTAAGGTGTATGTTCACTACTTTAACACTGACAAAATCCAATTAATTATCAGATAATAGTAAGTTTAGTTCTGTTGAAAATTGTTCGTGAATTTGATCGTTGAACAGATATTTCCTTGACTTTTTACATGATGAACTCTAAGGTAAGCAATAAGTTCAGTAATCTGAATATCTTTTTTTTAATCTAATTTAAAATTTTGTACCTTCAATGGTTTATACTTACAGTGCAAATACTGAAAATAAGCATTATTGGTTACTAATAAAAAAAATATTTTTAATTTTCTACACGGTTTGAAGTAACTTTTTTTTCAATAACTTATCTATTTATTAATTATACGGTCATTATCAGAAATATTTTGAACATTAGTTGTAATCTTAATTAATTCATGCTTTTGATAATTATATTTTCTATTTTAACAATTAAAAAAGAACACAACATTACCTTTTATTGTAATTAAAAAATATTTTGCGATATTCGAGTACAGAATCGTTACAATCTCTCAATTGTATATTGATGGCTTTCAGTCAAACTGATAGAATATTAAATATTCCAGATCCCACAAATCATTTCTCAATAATATTTATTTGATCAAATCTAAATTATTTTAGTCAGCAGAAACATAAGGAAGGAAAATCTTATTTGTAGGTTTAGTTTTTTTTTAATGTCTTTTGTTAAGATCTCGCTTGTTGATATAGAGTATGCCAATGACAGTTGTACTTGGTGTAGACGATGAAAAAATGCAGAGTCTTTTAACTACCCAAGCAAACATGTTCGGGATGTAATTCTCCCCGTCGAAATGCAAAATGTTGCTTTAGGATTGGCTTATTTCGGCAAATGAACTAATGATAAGGAGTAAAGTTGCTGAGTGTGTTAACTGCTTCACTTATATGGGGAGTCTTATCAGCGCTGATGGCCTGGTGTGTGGTGAGATCTCAGCGCAGATACAGAAGACATGATTGGCTTTCCTCAACTTGCGTCAATTATGGCGTAGGTGAGGTGTCCGTTTGCTAACCAAAGGATGAAAATTACGGCGCATCAGTTCGCTCCATCCTACTTTATGGATGCGAAAAATAGTCAGTCAGAGTAGTAGACATTCGTGGGTTGCTTATTTTTGATCATAAGGGTCTCCGAATCATTGTTCGTGTATCGTGGGACAACCGAGTGAGCGATTCTGTCGTAAGGAAACGAGTACTATGTAGGGATGACAAATCAGTAGATGAAGTATTGAAATTTCATCATTTGAGGTGGTTAGGACATGTGTTACGTATGCCCAACCAACAAGCTATGTTTTGTGGTGTAGGAGTAGGTTGGGAGAAAGTTAGGGGCGGCCAGACCAAAACATGGCACAAAACCATGAAGTCAATTACAACTGGATTGAGTCATGTTGGTAGGTATATACTACCTGGTTGGGGTCCGCGAGAAGATAATAACTGACAGTAAGAGATTCTGAATGACATGGTTCAAAATCGTTTGCAATCGTGCAGGTGCATCCATTCTTTCTGTTCTCTCTAATTCTAATCTTCAGAATTTCTCATCACCTCTATCTTTCTCTTTCTAAATCTACCTCACTGAATTACACTTCTCGAATCATATCTTCGAACCCTAATCTTCTCCATTACTGCTAATACTTCCAGTATCTCTAACACTACAGGATTTAAACTGACAATTGCGTCGCTGTGCTAATGTGGTATGGCAACCTGAAGTGATGTACGTACTTACGAAATTCTATGTTGTAACTGGCTAACTGGTTTGAAATTTTTTTTATAAAATAAACTGCTGGTTTGTATGTAATTTTAAAAAAAAACGAACTTAGTGCTATCCTATATGATCTGAGAAATCGACAACAGTCTAATAAATTCATACTTTAGAATATCCCTTCCAAAATATTTTACTGAAAATAAGACTAGATTATGTCTCAGAAAAGAAAGCCGCATTTCAACAGACGGTCCAAAGTTCACCTCCATTGACTATTACAAAGAAATTAATTGCATTAGATGCCCTTGTAGGTCCAATAAGTATGCATTGACGATCCACTAAACAGCAAGTTGGATAGACTCTATTTAATACTAATCGAAAATGGTTATTTTGTCAGCCCCATTATGATAAACATAAGACCAGAACAGTACGCTAAAAGATCCACTACAGCATCAAATAAAATTATGCTTATGGACATTTATTTTGTGGACATATTGCTGTAGAATTTCTGGAAACTCATTTTTCAGGAAATCCGAGGAAAATATTCACTTTTACTGAGTTTTTGATTATCTTCTACAGACTTCAGTCACCCTAGTTTGTATCTGTCAGTTTACCTAACCTTATGAAGCAAGTCATATCATTCACTCACATATATCTGAGCATTACACAACCTAGTTATAGAAGAGAAAACACAAATCAACCGAAACCCTGATTCCTATAGATTTCGTCAATCAGTCACCGTGCTCCATCATAGTTATATATATATATATATATATATATATATATATATATATATATATATACAATTGTTTAGCTTCGATAAGCGAAATCGATAATTTCTCTTTATTTTATCTTTCGTTCCAAAAATACTTAATATAGTCTGTTTATAGACAGACATGGATATATACTTCATTGAGATTGAATAAGGCTAA